GTACGACGTTTCCCAGTTACTTATGGAATAAAGTGAATTCCCCATATCATCATACGTCGAGTTTTAGATAATTATATGGCCCAATAGCCCCAAGTGCCTACTTTCAGAATAGATACGATTTTACCCTATAATGATGGTTTTTCATCGGGTTTTCGATGTTTAGCCTATAGCATCCCTAAGAAGAACAAGACCACCGGTTGCGTTTTGAATAATGTTTGATTGAAAAGAGCTAGAGAGCTCCGGTTTTCACCATTCGAAAGAGAAGACTTGGAAGCATGTTTGCATAACCAAAATCTTTTCAAGAACAGTTTTGTGAAATAGGGTTATAAGAAGGCGTTTGAAAATCTAGGTCGCGCGTAAAAACGTCCCGTAGATTTGTTTTGTTTTTAATTCATGGACTGATAGCCTGAGGTGTCGTCTTCGGAATGGGAGCCAAGAGAGTCCTTGAGTTTCCGACCTAAAGTTCAACTAGAACGCTACGTTGACTGTGTGAATGACAAAACCTTCTTCTGTTAGTGATAAAAGCAAAACATCTGAGAAATGAACTTGAGATGCGGCGTACTGCACGCGTCAGTGATTTCTTCGTATGATCGTATGATTGGTTTTAAAACAAAGAAAATGAATGACAGATTTTAGGCTTTTTCTTGCTGTAACGTTGTTGATAGAGACATCCATCATACACTTTTTTCTCTTTGAAAGAAAAGCACATGAATAAAACCATTTTTCTGTTTGGAGGACGACAATCGCGTATGAAGATTTTACAACTTACTATTTCATAATGATAATGCACGATGGTTCTCATGCACAAAAACTTGTGTAAAACACAAAGAAAAGATCCGAATCTGCGTAGTTTCATTTTGCTGTTCGCCTTATTGCTTCTGATGTTATACAGATTTTTGTACTCGGATCCATTGTGCATTTTAACTGGTATCCTCATTTTATCCTATATAGACGATTGCAACAGAAAGGAAGAATGAAAGAATAAACCTCAAAAAATAGTCGCTATATGTAACAGATGGATTAACAGAAATATTTACCCTTTTTTTTCGAGTATACTACATATACTCAACTTAAGTTAGGAGTCTATATTCCTAGTGGAAAGCAAAAACCACTGCCATGTTTAACAGCAACATAAAAAGCTTCGTACAGTCTTGTTGCCATAAAGTTACCCATGGGGAAATTTTAGTAGATATCGCGGTGTGTACACGCGTGAAATATCGTGAAATGAATTGTGGTGAACATCGTAAAATGGTGTGTGAGCACGCGTGAAAAATATATTCCACTTGTGAGAACAGGTGAACTGGTCACAAAAACATTTCGCGTCATATTTTTTGCACGTGATCACAGGTGAGAGTCGTGAAGTATGTAGTGGCCACACGTGAATTTCTCATGTTAAAATTTCCGTAAAAAAATATCACGCGTAAAAATGTTTCCCACTAATTCCATTGTGAAAAATATCTTCACATTTATTCACACGTCAGTTTTTCACGTAATCCATTTCGTGAATAATATTCACGCTTAACCCCAAGCGACAGAATTCTTACGTTTCACGCACGTCCATGTGAGAAACCTTTTACAGGTGCGAAATGTCCTGAAGATTGAGCGAGAAGCATGAATACAAATTTCTCCGATGTCTTCCCAAAGTTGTACATACATACAGATGAAAACCTTTACTGTAGACCGAAGGTATTTGCTGTAGGAATATGCCTGGGATCATCTTGTTCCCCGGGAGGAAGTATTAACTAAAAAAGTTGGAAACTAAGAAAAAAGATTTAGGAAGTTCACGAATAATCACGTGTGGGAACTTTTTTACACGTGGTAACTCGTGAGGATTGATTCGATAACTATGAATACCACATTTATTCAGTAGTTTCTCAGGCAAGTTAGCTCAATAGTAGTATCGTAGATTTCTAGTTCAAAGCACCCTGGTTCGACTCTTACTTTGCGGTGATATATATAAAATGTGATATTTTAGAAACTAGTGGTCACATGTGGAAAAAGTTATAGATGAAGTTGCATTGATGAAATCTGCATTATACCTTGACCATGGTGACCATGTATAGTCAGTTGACTATAGATGGTCAGCATGGTCAAGATTTTTTCACACGTAATCACGCGTGAAGATTGTTCACTTGTGTACACGTGTGAAGATTTTTCACGCGTAGCCACGCGTGTGATGTTGCAACAACACGACCAAACTATCGTGAAACTTGCTGTCTTTACCTACAAAATTTCGTGAAAGTCCAAGCTGACATTTCACGGTCCCTCACGCGTGAAAAGTCGATAAAATTTCCCCATGGGTAGACTTAGTTAAGTCGAGTACTTAAGAAGTTTTATGAAACACCCTCCAGGAAATCAAGAAGAAAGGTTTTGTTTTAGTTGTCAAAGTGTTTTCATGAATTGTTTAGACAAATATTCAGTTAAGTGTATGCTGTATTTTTCACAATAAAAAAGAATTGTTGATATACATTAACTGGTGTCCTAGAATAAGTTGCACTAACTCTTGGTGTATTTTTTTCTCAATTATAAAAAAGATCCTTTTATATACCAAACGATAGACAATTTAATTCTCTACAAGATTGTATATTTATTTTTAAGATTCATCGTTGATGTTTGACACAGTAACTCTAGCAAGATTAGTTTCACATTTTTTAACCGCACCTTCAGAAAGTCGATTTTTTGCGCAAAACCTTGCTAAAAATGATTTATTCAACAAAACAAGGTATACCGAAAAATTCATCAAGAAATTTTCTACAATATGATGAGTTTTTTAATGAGAAATAATGGTTTTTCAGATGAAATCGGAGCGAAAAAGAGTCTTTGAAAAAAATCATTTTCTCGTATTTTTCGGCCACTTTAGTGTCACCCAGTCTTTCCTAGTTTTTCAGGTAAAAAACGTAGCAGGTTTATTTGTAAGTTACACAGTCTAACAGGGCACGAAATTCTGCATTTTTTAGTCTATAAACTAATAATTTGAACTTTAGATTTTATACTAGAATAGTCAAAACCTTTTTCTAGTGCTAGAAACTTCGATGGATTTGAAAGTTTATGTATTAAAGCCGCTAGCAATTGAAATAAATCCACTTTTTTTTAAACTCTTTTGTAAAGCATAAAATTCTTCACTGTTTGACGGTAATAAAACTACCACAATTTTTTTTGTACTCGTTATAAACAATTAAAACAAGAGAGCAATTTGCACTTGCGTGGTTTTGCCAAATATCAAAGATAAATCTTAAACATAAATATACAATCTTGTAGAGAATTAAATTGTCTGTCGTTTAGTATATAAAAGAATATTTTTATATATATAGGAAATGAGAGAAAAATGCATCAAGATTTAGTGCAATTTATTCTGGGACACCCGTTAAAGGCCTAGTGTGTGATAGAAAAGAAAAAATGTGCCCCTGGTGAGATTCGAACTCACGGTCTCCGCATTACTCCAATACTGTTGTATAAGTACGGCGCATTAACCGGCTATGCAACAGGGGCTTAGATTTCACATTTAAAATCTGTATGTATATTTTCGTAGAAAGAGAATAAAATTTTTACTTTTTAGGTATGTGTGATCGTCCATTTACAATTGAAAATCGTTCAGAAATTTTAGATATTACTGCATTTAATTATGGCGATGAAAATGTGGCAGAAAAAGTTCGAGATCCACAACGTACTCCGATGCAATGGACTGCCGATGAAAATGCAGGTTTTACTTTGCCTTCAACAAAACCCTATTTACCTCTGTCGTCGAATTATATTAATGTTAATGTTGAGAAACAATTATGTGATGAACGTTCACATTTAAAACTTTATCGTCAATTAGTCAAACTGCGAGAACAACCACCATTTTACGGTGGTAACTATAAAGTTGTCCTTGTTAATAAAGATATATTTTCATTTATTCGATTTATTAATGAACAATACCCGGTATATTTGATTATTTTGAATGTAAATGGTTCTGAGAAGAAATCGGTATGTTTTAGAACAAGAGTAGGCACCTCTTCAATTACTAATTTTATTTTTGTTTTTGTTTTTTGACAATAGGTATATACATGTAACTTTGGAAAAGAGTTAAAAATAAAAGATGGCAAAGTGGAGGTTGTGGTACGATCGAACAATATTCAATCGGATTCTCCACTTGCGACAGAAGGAAATTTGTTGGATATTAGTTCAATACCATTAGGGTCGTCTGAAGCTGTTGTTGTAAAATTAGTCCAATGCGATAATCTTTCTCACTGTTTTAAATTTTAACCATTTAAAAATTTTTATTGTTTGTTGTGTAACCCTTTTTGTACTAGAAATTTTTAATTAATTTTAAATATTACAGGCTTTTATTAAATAAATCAAGGCCTATATCTGTCATACAGTGTCGTCTACAGCAAAAACGAGACTAAACGGATTGTACGCAGATTAAGCAATCCTACTAGGATTCTACGGATTTCACAGGATTCCTATTGTTGGGTCCTATGAAATCCTGCCACAGGAATTCCGTAGAATTCTTGATATAGGACGATAGCAAAAGTCCTATAGGATTTCTATAATAGGAATCTGATGCATTTCTTATAAAATCCTATGGTAAGATCTTGTATAGGATTTTGTAGAATTCCTATTTTTTCGTTCTGTATACATTTTCAATTCTTTTTCTATACGAGAACACAATCACTGACGTGTTTTGTAGTAACTCTAATATAAGTACAACTCTACTGTAGAAAATTAAAAAATTCTTTTAGGCTCAAACTTTCGCATCAACAACATGAGCGATCGAAACTCGCTACTGTTCGATGGCATATGAATCAGTATTCACAAGTCTTGGATTTATCTCAGCTTAGAATCATCTTATTCTCGCTAGGTGGGACCAGAGAATAATTAAACAAATAAAAATAATAAACCTCGTAGGATAGATCAGCAGAAAATCGTATAAAATCGCATTGCACTAGATCTGACTATAGGATCCCATAAGAATCTGACAGTAGAATTTTTTAGCTGTGAGGTTTTTCTACAAGATTTTGGTAGGATCTTACAGGATCTTGAAGTAGGATCTTGTAAGAATCTTTTAAGAACTTACGGTAGGGTTGTTTGACCTGGTAAAGATTGAGAAGTTTGAGATCCTTTTGATGATGACTTTTATCAACGACTATTGATGCGAAAGCGGTAATAATTTATTAAGAGTCTCCTGTTAGAAACTTATTCCAGTAAAAGACAGGTGTCTCCTCTAGTTTGATACAGATTTTGGTGTGGTCTTGAAACGTAGCTACGGTTTGGCGCCACAACTTGACAGAGTCGAGTTTTTCAAATCTTTTGTTTATTTTTTCCAAGCATTTTTTGAGAACTTTTGATCAACTCTTCGAAAAGCTTGATATTTTCTCAAAATTAAGTTGAGAATCAAAAATTCGATTCTGCAAAGTTGTAGCGCCAGTCTTAGCTATATTTTAAGACCATCCGAAAGTCTACATCACTTGAATTGGAGAAGAAATATATGCGGCACGAACCGCTACGGCTAAAATCGATTTCGAAAAAAGCGCAAAAGTATTTTTGACTTTGAATATTCTCCTTAATGAAACAACATAAAAAAAATTGAGAGGAATTTGTTGGAGCTTATTGACTATGGTGAATTAAATCGATAGGTGCAAAGATATGTGCGGTACATGTTTTTGTGTTTGTATAAGAAGTTTGCAAAACGACCATCTTTTCGAATTTTAGCTGTATCATAAAAACCTTTGTAAAATCATCGTAAAACCAATAAATTATAGTGTAGTCAGAAGCAGATACTTTAGCCTATACAACAATGTATAAATCTCAAAGTTGATGTATCTGACGAAAATTGACAGGGACTGGGAAGGATCTATACTTAGATCGAAAAATAGAGCATAGAGAAACAATAGAGCACTTGATTTTTTTGCTAAAACCCCCGTCAGTATGCCCACTATGTCATTCTTCATATTATTACGAAGACTATTTAAGAGAGCCTCCAAGAGCCTATCCAGTATACCTGTCAATCGCGAAAAATGGATTTTGTTAAAAGTTTCATTATTCGATTCGGCATGAAAAACTGGGGTGACGAAACTTTTTAAAACCTTATAAGTGATTTTGCTCTGCTTTTTCCAAGACCTAAACCTAAAAAACCCGAAAATTGACCAATTTCAGCTTTTTATGTATAAAACCGTCAGTTTTCATTCCATTTTTTTTGAACGACATTTCATTCGGAAGAGCGCACAAAACTGAACAAAATTTGATATTTACAAATATTTTAAAGTTAAAATAGTAGTCGCAAAAAAATATTTTACTAAAATTTTGAGGTTTTGAAAAACTGAGCTTTTTGTAGAAAAACCTGAATATTTTAAGCAACCAAACGAAAATCCATAATAGAGTTTTGATATTTTAATAGAGCAAACAATTCTGCACCTGATATATTGTTTAAAAATAACAAAATCGATGCAACTCGGGATCAAAATAGTCCCACAATAGCCAGAACTGGAAATGACCAAAACACAGAAAATGCTCTAAATAATTTTTTTCGTCGTCAAGCTATTTCCAATCGATTTTTCAGTCAAGATTAAGTATAACAAAACCTTTTCTCCCTTCAATACGTGTTTTCCGTCGAGAAAAGCACCCACTAGAAAACGTCCGGGAAAAGTATACTAAAAAAAACGTCGACAAAACTGAGTTCACGCATAGTATTTAAGGGTACCCCCTCCTCTTTTTTTGCAAAAAAATTGTCATTTTGAGCTGAACATAGTCTAATGTAGAGGAAAGTCTGGACTATAAAATGAGACCACTTCCGGCTCTCCATGACCTTCCTTGAACAAAATTACGAAGCTTTTAAGGTTTTCCTTCAAACCCTAGAAAATCTCAATTTTTAAGTTCGTAAATTTTTTTCTCTTCTATATATTCAAACTTTTTTCTTATGATAGAAGAAAGTATGCTCTTCAGAAATAGATGTTTTCCAGAATTTTCCGATCAGTTTTCTTAGAAACATAAGCATTGCCGCAAATGCCCTGAAAAACAGAACCGTGTGTACAATATGTGTTTTTCTCACTATGCGTTTTTTAATAGTCCCTTCAATTGGCACACATTACGACTCCTCGAAAAAATGGTCCGATCGAGCTCAAAATTTTATCACAGATACTTCAGACTCTA